TGTTCAGTGCAGTGAGCGAAGCATGTGCAGACAGACAGACGGAATCCTTGTGTTCAGTGCAGTGAGCGAAGCAAGTCGGTAGAAGCCTTTCCCACCCCAGACTGAGGCAAGCCCTGTGCTTACAGGGCTTGTGGGGAGTTAGTGCAGAGAGAAATTTATTCTAAAAATGGGACTCCCTGCTCTGGGTTGGGAAAATTACATATTGGGGAAAAGAAAGGCAGAGTGTCAGGGAAAGCCTGGTAGGGAAGCTGTTGTGGCTTCTCTGCTGCTGCTTGGACTGCACCTTTTTTCAGCCCGAATCTCGCTCACCCTGGAACCTGCCACTTAGGCCTTCTGGAGCGCCAGGCTCCCTGGAAGAGCCCTCGCTTCCCTCTCTCCTGTGCCGTCTCCATGGCAGCCTCTGCTTCCCTCGTCAGCTGTCCTTGCCTCATCCTGCTGTCCTTCCCAGGGAGACTCCCCTCTGGGCTGGGCTTTTCAAGGGTCGGGACTTGTCATCCTCTCCTCGTGCCTGGCCCTATGCCATGAGCCCCACCTCTTAGGCCAGTGCGCTCCTGGAGCCCAGGAGGCTTGTGGAGCCTTGCTGTCACCTCTTAGCTGGCAAGCTGGAGAGCTATCCTGGCAGGGCGAGTCCAGCAAGGGGTGCTGCAGCTGCTCAGTCCTGGCTGGCATCTGGGCCAGGTTAGCTCTCAGCTCGGGTCAGCACCACGGGACAAATATGTTGTCAAAAATAACTCAGGGCCAGGTACGGGACTCACATCTGTAATCACGGCATTTTGGGAGGCCGAGGCAGGAGGATCTGATGAGCCCAGGAGTTTAAGACCAGCGTGGGCAACATAGCGAGACCCCGTCTCTACAAAAACATAATTAACTGGACGTGGTGCACACCTGCAGTCCCAGCTGCTTGGGAGGCTAGGCAGGGAGGATCACTTGAGCCTGGGAGGTGGAGGCTGCAGTGTCCTATGATCGCACCATTACAGTCCAGCCTAGGTGACAGAGAGAGACCCCGTCTCAGGAAATAAATAGATTGAACTCAGATTCCAAACTGAAGGGGAAATGGCTTAAGTTATTTGTAACTTGCCCACTTCAGAAATTGAAAAAAATAAAAAATTGAAATCTCTGCGTTAAGAGTTGAGGAATATGTGCTAGAGACTTCCAGAAAAAAAGAACACGTGGAGGACAAGCACACGTGAGAGGAGCCTGGACGGGCTGTCCGGATTCTGTTTACGCTGGGGCCTGAGCACGCTGCACCTTTCCCTTGCGACCGGCGGTGGCTACATCCATCACGCGGGGCAGGCTTCCTTCCTGCTCCCGTGTCTCCTTGCATCCCGTAGCCCTGAGTCTACACATTCAGGCTTCAAGATACAATCTTCCCAGCATGACTGTTTAATAACATGTGATTTCGTCAATGTAAAATCAAATGCAATTTTGGAGATGAATCTCCATCAAAAAGTTGGAAACTCTGCCTAGTTGTCATTCTGGGCATGTCTTTAGATCCATTTTCCTATAACTTCCTTCTGATGAAAACTCATGCTGGGGAATCCGTTTGGCACGTCTGCCTCTGCTGCTCCTTCATCTCTGTTTTCTGGGTGGGACCCCAGAGGACACGGATGGGCAGTCTGTGCCACAGAGGGTTTGGAGGTGACGGCTCGTGTGGATGAGGAGTCAGCTGCCGACCTCAGAACAAACGTGGGAAGAAGAGGGCGCAGCACAGGCCCGAGGCTTAGGGCAAAGCCTGCTTTTCATTCGGGGAAAGAGTGGACGCGCTCTGAGTTGCCTGCTGTGTCAGCACCGGTGTGGGATGCTGCTCGAGTTAGTATGAGCAGCTCCACATACTAGAGGGAGTGAGAAGACGGGTCCCGGTGTGCCGTGGGCGTTCTGCACGCCGTCTGCTGGGCCACGTGCTTGCACTGTCCGTGAAGGAGGCCTTGACCCGGCTCTGCTGTCAGCAGGGAGCCTCAGAACCCTGGGGCCTCGGTGTGCCCGAGCGTGGGACTGTCAGGGCTGGAGCAGGGCCGGTGCTTTGAGGTGGGAGATCTTGTCTGCTTTGTGGACCAGAGGGTCTCGTTGAAACTGCTGAACGGAGTTGCGGAATCACAAAAGCACACCTGTGGATGGATGTGGCTGTCCCAGAGGCGTTATTTACAGAAGAACTGGGCACCGGGTCTGGAAAGCCCAGGGGAACCCTCAGCTTTACCTGCTGGCTTTGGCGAACAGAAGGTCCCCAAACCTGTGTGCGCTGACGGGGGCTGACGACATGAATGATGCTGAAGCGAGCTGGCGTTGGGGCCGGCACCTGGCTCCTGCCTGAATGGGGTGCTGCTCAGCGGAAATCGAATATGAGCCTGTGTTTTGCAGACTATTTTTTGTGCTGATTCTTGGGTCATGTGATTCGCAGAGGTCCCACTTCAGTAAACGCCAGCAGCCTCCACACCGGCGGGTCTCACAGATCCTGCCACAGGCCGCCGGCTCTGTGTCCCTTCTTCATGCCCAGTGGTGTCAGACATCCCCACTGGTGGCCCCAACCTGTGGCCAGGGGTCGTGTGCAGCTTCCAGGAGCCCAAGGGCTGGGGTGGGCCATGAAAGCCTGCACCAAGGACCTGGACCTCCCAGGAGTCGGGTCCCCTCCTTGGCTCCCCAGATGAGTGTGTTCATGTAAGGTTTCCCTGCACCGAGCAGGAGGTGGCCTCCCCAGCCCTGCTCTGGGAGGAAGTGAAGCGTCGCAGTGTCGTCAGTGTCTAATGCTTTGTGTTTGGACCCTGTTCCAGTCAGCTGTCGGCCACGAATATCAGTCGAAACTTTCCAAGCACTGCTCACAGGTAGACTCGGTCCGCGGCTTCGGAGGCAAGTTTGGTGTCCAGATGGACAGAGTTGATCAGGTGAGTGATGTGGTGCTGGGGCTGGTGGGGGTTGGGGCAAGGGGGAGCGTTCCCCGTAGATCTGAGCCATATTGGGCCACTTGTAGTGGCAGGCAGGTGCCCTCCAGCTCTGTGGGACTGCAGAGAGGGGCATCCCGCTCCCAGGATGCTCTGAGAGCCTGGGCCCAGGGAGAGGAAGCGGGATGCGGAGGGCTTGCTACAGCAGTCCCTGCGGTCGCTCTTCACTACGTGCCCCAGTACTGGACGGCCCTGTGTCTGTCCAAATGTGCCAGCAGGGACCATTGCTGCCCGTGTTTCTCACGTGTGTGCTGCTGTGACAGAGCGGCCTCAGAGCGTGTTCCAGGGAGCGGGATGCGCTCGCTGCGTCCAGGACTCAGGCTTTGCGTCAGGATGTTGTTGCAGTCATCCTGGGCCCGAGCCTCTTCTCTGATTCTCTTCGGCTTGGGACTGGCGGCTCTTTTGTTTAATAGAGGAGCGATCAGGAACCTGGAGGGAGCAGGGAGCTGATGATGCTGGTGGCAGATTGTGGCTTTGTGACATATTAGCCACGGTTCTGAATTTATGTGTCTATGAAATGAGGGGGATGATCACACCTCTCTCACGGGTGTGCTTAGATGCCCATCGCAGTGCCTGGCTGGTGGGAATGCACCCCTGGTGGCCACTGCTATTCCTGTTATTAATATTAATGTTCTCAGCATGACTTATTTGAGAAGCGAGTTTTCGTGAAACCCGTGGAATGAATCGGCTGAGGACGCCCTGCCGCCACATGCTAGGGAGGGCAGGTTGCCATGGATACAGCTTGGCCCGTGCCGTCCCCTGGGCCTTGCAGAACATTTGTTGTCCTGTCCGTTTAGGATGCCAGAGCTCTTGCGTTACTGCCACCTGCACCTGGCTTAGGAACCCAGAGGTCACAACATAACATGTTTCATGTTTTTAAAAATTTCATGTAATTAATTCAGAGAGATTGTTTCAGGGACATTGAAAAAATGTATTTCTCCCCACTCTTTAATGTGTTTTTGGTCATCACAGTCTGCCGTAGGCTTTGAATACCAGGGGAAGACTGAGAAGCACGCCTCCCAGAAAGGTAAGACGCGAAAGGCGCGGAAAGAGGCCGGCGCTCCAGGGGCCCTGATGGGGAGAGTCACGGCCACCTGGAGCCGTTTCCCGAGCGGTTTCTGTTGCCACAAGGAGGACTCTGCCCTCCTCTTCATGTTTCTGGATCATCCGGATGCCACATGACGGATGCATTCCCCGTTACACAGCCTCCTTGGAGCCCTGGCATCTGCTGTCATTGTGGAGCCTCCCGCTTTAGCGGAAGCTGCCCTCCCTTCATCTGGGCAGTGCTCCTCCTGGAGAAGAGAGCTCTCAGATTTATCAGCAAAAAGCTAACTTCCCCTCTAAGGATAGAAACCAGAGTTGTTAAATTCTTGTTTTCATTATACACATACGGTCTTAACTGCTGGTGATTAATCTTTATTACATCATACCATCTCTTTTTGAAAGACCAAAGCATATCGCTACCTTAAAGTTTTCAGTTTATTTTTTGCAAGCTTATTTAGTTCTTCCTCTTTTAGTGTCATTGCATCATCCGGGGGAACAAGCTCTCAGTCCTTAAGCAGTCTCGGTGCAGTCCAGGTGGAGGTAGCTGTGGTGTGGGCAGGCAGAGGGAGGATCAGGGTCTTGTTTCCCGTGTTCAGCTGTGTGGCTTTCTTCATACGAGGCTTTCTCTTTCCATTTTTTTCATTTTGTTTGTTTGTTTGTTTGTTTTGAGACAGAGTCTCGCTCTGTTGCCCAGGCTGGAGTTCAGTGGCGCAATCTTGGCTCACTGCAAGCTCCGCCTCCTAGGTTCAAATGATTCTCCTGCCTCAGCCTCCCAAGTAGCTGGGATTACTGATGTGCACCTCCACCCCTGGCTAATTTTTCTATTTTTTAGTACAGATGGGATTTTGCTATGTTGGCCAGGCTGGTCTCAAACTCCTGACCTCAAGTGATCCGCCTGCCTCAGCCTCCCAAAGTACTGGTTCTTTGTATGAAGCTTTCCAACTTTTACCTGAGCAGTTGATTTTCAAAGTGGGCATGCAGCTTCCTTTCTGACCACACAAAGGAACTGCCCTGTAACAGCTGACAGGGCCCGGAACCCCACCATGTACCTGTTACGAAGCGGGTCCAGCGTCAGCTGTATGGAGCAGTGGGTGGCTTGTTGTACATTGTAAAACGTGTGCTTGATCTGTTTGTGAGTTGTAACCACTACACACTTCTGCTTAGTTTAACAAAAGGGACAGTTTAGTTTGTCCTCAGGCCCACGTGCTAACTGCTGCCCTGTCTCTTCAGACTACTCCAGTGGTTTTGGCGGCAAGTACGGCGTGCAGGCTGACCGAGTAGACAAGAGCGCGGTGGGCTTCGACTACCAGGGCAAAACGGAGAAGCACGAGTCACAGAGAGGTGGGGCGGACCCCACGGTCTGGAATCATGCGTTTGCTCCAGAAGCACCCACGAGGGCATTTTCTGTCCTCACAGATGATTGTTGTAGATTTTTTAACTTAAAATGTTTGGTGTTCTTTTAGTACCAGTGTATGTGGGCTTTTCCTAATTCGAATGGCCGCACAGTTCCCCATCATAGGAGGATTCCATAGTCCATGTAACCATTCCTTTTTTGAATGTGGAATTTAGGTTATTTCTTTTTTTTTTTTTTTTTGAGACGATGAGGTCTTGCCATGTTGCCCGGACTGGTCTTGAACTCCTTGATCTCAAGCAATCCTCCACCACCTTGGTTTCCTTAAGTGCTGGGATTACAGGTGTGACCTGTAAATTTTTTTTTTTTTTCTTTTAGAGGGAGTGTAGTGGCGTGACCTCTGCTCACTGCAACCTCCACCTCCCTGGTTCAAGCAATTCTCATGCCTCAACCTCCCGGGTAGCCGGGATTACAGGCACATGCTGCCACGCCCATCTAATTTTTGTATTTTTAATAGAGACGGAATTCTGCCATGTTGTCCGGGCTGGTCTTGAATTCCTGACCTCAGGTGATTGGCCCGCCTCGGCCTCTCAAAGTGCTGGGATTACAAGTGTGAGCCACCGCACCCGACTGAAAATTGACTGCAGGGAGCATTCTTGTACCTGTGTTTTGTTCATGAATGATTATTCAAAAGAATCACTCCTAGATGTGGAATTGCTGGGTTGAAGTCTATTGAATGTAAAATTTCCATAGATACTGCCAAGTTGTCCTTGGAGGCTGTGCTGAGTTCTTCCTTCCCCACAGCGTAACCTGTACACCAGCACTCAGAGAGTTTCCCAGGGCTGCAGAGGCTGTGGCCTGCCCGTTTCTCTGCGCCTCTTTTGTTTCGCCTGCACATTTAAATTTTTAAAAATATTTGCCAACATTTGAAAACTGAGAGCTTGACTATTTAAAAACTCAGATTTCTAAAAAAAAAAAAAAAAAAAATCCCAGACCAAGAAACGCCCCTGGAAGATCCGACCACTCTGGCTTGGCATTTCCCTGAGGAAAGTGCCAGTGGCGTGAAGGGCAGCTTGGCCTGTAGTTTGTCGCGGACTGGCCTGGCCTGGCCTTCCTGCCGGTCAGGCCCTGCCTACTGCACAGGGCTGCTTGCCTCTGCTCTCTGCCTCTTTCCTGGGAACAATCCATTCCTCCTCTTCCCACACCGCACAGTTGTGAGCAGCGCATGCTCCGTGAAGCCGCGTGAGTGTGTGACTCCAGTGAGCCTGGGAGCATGGGCTGAGCACCTGGGCAGACTCAAGCCTCCTCAGATGCCTGAGGCCTTCTCTCCCAGGCCTTGATCCTCTGCATTTTTACTTTTAGTGGGTTCATGAGAGATTCATGTTTTGGTATCACAGTGACATGCTAAATGGCTTCATTCTGAGTAGAACTGGTGTTTCTGGAAGATGCTGTGTGTGTGTCCTGTTTCCTGGTATCCCCCTGTTTGCTTCAGTTTGTGAAGAGTGGCCTTTGAAAGTCTTGCCCCTGTGCCACCTCCTCCCCCTAGAGCCTTATCATAAACTCTCATCTCCTGCTAGCTTCTAGATGCAATGGATGATGTTACAGGAATTCGTCTGCTGTACTTCCTTTTTTGAGACAGAGTCTCTTGCTCTGTCGCCAGGCTGGAGTGCAGTGGCGCGATCTCAGCTCACTGTAGCCTCTGCCTTCCGGGTTCAGGAGACTCTCCTGCCTCAGCCTCCTGAGTAGCTGGGATTACAAGCATGCGCCACCACGCCCAGCTAATTTTCTGTATTTTTAGTAGAGACAGGGTTTCACCATGTTGCCCAGGATGGTCTCGATCTCTTCACCTCGTGATCCGCCCACCTCAGCCTCCCAAAGTGCTGAGATTACAGGTGTGAGCTGCCGTGTCCAGCCTCTGCTGTACTTAAAAAAATAATAATAATTTTTTTTTTTTTTTTTTTTGAGATGGAGTTTCGCTCTTGTTGCTCAGGCTGGAGTGCAGTGGTGCAATCTCGGCTCACTGCAACCTCCACCTCCTGGGTTCCAGTGATTCTTTTGCCTCAGCCTCCCGAGTAGCTGGGATTACAGGTGTGGGCCACCACGCCCAGCTAATTTTGTATTTTTAGTAGAGATGGGGATTCATCATGTTGGTCAGGCTGGCCTTAAACCCCTGTCCTCAGGTGATCCTCCCACCTCAACTTCCCAAAGTGGTGTGATTACAGGTGTGAGCCCCCACCCCCGGCCTGTTTTTTTAATTTTTAAAAAATTCGTTAATGATTTAACTTAGAGATGGGGTCTTGCTATGTTGCTCAGGCTGCACTCAGCCTCCTGGGCTCAAGCAATCCTCCCTTCTCAGCCTCCTGAGTAGCTGGGTTGCAGGCACATGCCCCCACCTCTGCTAACCACTGTTTATGTTCCTGTTATTACACATAAATAGCACCTTTAAATATTGTCTGTATTATTCAGTGGCCCTACCGTGGACCCGAAAGATTTTTGTGTTTTTTTAATCAAACGATAAAAGCCTTTCTTAAGGACTGCTAAGACCCTTGCGTGCTCACTGATTTCATTGCTCCCTTTAAAGCAGTCCTTTTTTTGTTTGTGTTTAGATTACTCCAAAGGTTTCGGTGGCAAATACGGCATCGACAAGGACAAAGTGGATAAGAGCGCCGTTGGCTTTGAGTATCAAGGCAAAACGGAGAAGCACGAGTCCCAGAAAGGTGTCTTCCGTTTTATCTTACCCTCCAGCCAGCAGCTAGTGATGTGGCAGGTGGTAGCCACTCCGGAAAAGGAAAGACAGAGCGTTATTGACAGCCCTTAATGTGGATGTCTCTTTTTCATTAAATCCCCAACTTGAAAACGGCACATCTAGAAACCCGCTGCTAAATAAGAACTCGGAGCTTGCATGTTTTGGCGCTCCAGCCCCAGCGGCGTTGCTTATCGTGGCGGCCGCGCCCCGCACGTCCGTGTTGCCCGTGTGAGCCTGTGCTGCCTCGTGGTGCGGGTGGAAGCCGCGTACCTGGGAGCTTCCATGGGGTCCTGTCTGGCTTAATCACAATGCTGAGGTCATAGACTAGGTTATTTCCTGCCACTCTCCGAGGAGGGCCTCTTCGTGGATGTCAGCTAAGGTATTACCAAAGATCCAGAAGGGAAGGGCAGATTGAGTGACTCGAATGTGTTTAACTGTATTAAAAACGTACTTTCTACCTGTGACCCGCACTACCTGCTAATGATGGGTTCTGGCCTTTCATTGTGCATGTAGACTATGTGAAAGGGTTTGGAGGAAAGTTTGGTGTGCAGACAGACAGACAAGACAAATGTGCCCTTGGCTGGGATCACCAGGAGAAATTGCAGCTGCATGAATCCCAAAAAGGTACATTCCCTCTGCCTGTCGCGAGATGGTTTTGGAAGTTTGTCTGTGTTCTCGTGGGTCAGCTGCTGTGTGCTGTGTCTGCGTGTGCCTGCTGCACGTTGTTCTGTTTTCACTGTTTGAAGTTGTCCTGTGCGCCCCCCCCAGTCTCCCAGTTCCAGAAACCCTCCAGCTAGTGTAGTCATGACCCTCCCTGCTGACACGGCGCTGGCGCCCCAGAGAGCTGGGTTTACCCGGGAGTGGGGGTGCACGGGCCAGACCTGCAGCAGGGGGCTGGGTTTACCCGGGAGTGGGGGTGCACGGGCCAGACCTGCAGCAGGGGGCTGGGTTTACCCGGGAGTGGGCACATGGGCCAGACCTGCAGCAGGGGGCTGGGTTTACCCGGGAGTGGGCACATGGGCCAGACCTGCAACAGGGGGCTGGGTTTACCCGGGACATGGGCCAGACCTGCAGCACTCCTGGGATGCCGCTTGTTTTCTGCCTTCAGGAGGTGCAGGAGCAGCAGTGCTCCTCGTCCAGGCTTCTTGTCTATAAAGTGGGCCACGGTGTCTGGCAGGAGATACTTACTTTTGAACCGAAAGTGTTCTCTTGTCCGAACAGGTCCCTTTTCCCTGGGGAAAGGAACCTAAGGGGCTGAAACGCTTTGAGTATGACCCAGCCCTGAGATAAGCAGGAGCGGGGCTGATGGGGCTGCGCCCTCCGCATCTGCAGGGTCTCTCCTCCCGTGTACACAGATACGCGCACGCGTCTGCAGTGTGGGTAGGACCCTAGGAATGAACTGCACAGCCTGGAGTGGCTTTACTCAATTATTTGAAGTACAGTTCTTAGCCTGTTTCCACATCTTGGCCGAGTGTTCAGATTTTAAGTTCATTCTTTAACGTTGACCTTTGGAGCCACCTTCTGGCGCTGAGCCTGGGAGTAGGATCTCAAAGGCCGTAAGCTCAGGAGAGTCCTTGCTTTCTGGAAACTGTGTTTGATTTTTGCGCATGCTCATGCAATTCTAACCCAACTGTGTTTCCTCTCTTGGTTGTTTTCCCCACCGTTGCTTGTGGATTTTCAGATTATAAGACTGGTTTCGGAGGCAAATTCGGTATTCAGTCGGAGAGGCAGGACTCCGCTGCTGTGGGGTTTGATTACAAGGAGAAGTTGGCCAAGCACGAGTCCCAGCAAGGCACAGTTGCCACCAGCCTCTTACCCCCACCCTCCCCGTCCCATGCAGCCACTTCTAGCACAGACTTCAGGGCTCACCGTCCGCGCCTGCAGCACAGTCCTCCTGTGTCACCAGTTGTCAGCTGTCAGGCTGTTGGGCACTTGAAACCCATTTCTATTAGAGCGACACTGGTTTTGAATGGTTCCCTTCTCTTCCCCGCTTCACTTTCTTCCCTGTGAACCTGTGATCTGCGTATGGCAGGATGTACCAGTTAGTGTGTGGGTGCCGTCTTTCGAACCCTGTGACCCTTCCAGTCTCTGGACCGGGGCATCTCCGGTCTCCAGCAGCATTCTGCCCGAGGCTGTTCTGCTGGTAATGGTGGCTGCTGTGAGCCGTTGAGTCCGGCCTTCCAGATGAGGAGAGAGGTGTTCGGTTCAACCAAACCGCTGGCCGTTTGACCAGGGGCTTCGTAGCAGCAAGGGCCGGGAGACAGGCGTGTTCTGTGTGGTTTCTGTGTTTCATTTGTGGTGGTGTTTTTGGCCGGGGTTGGGAGGTTTTTTGTTTGTTTCATTTGATGACACCGTATGTGTGTAACATCTCCACACAGAGCCACACAGTGTGTACGCAGAGCCAGCTCTGCATCCTTCCTTAGAGCAGTTATGTTACCTTCAAAATTTGGACTTGGTTATTAGAACCTGAACACATAATTGGAAAAACAGTAATTCCCTAACCTTGCAGGGCAGACTCTAGACTTTCCACCTGCAGCGTTAGAAACACAGCAGTGTTCAGGTGTGGGCAGGTAGACACACCTGGGGTGGTCCCGCAGACTGCATGGAGATGGCAGTGGCTCTCCGAGGCATCACTCCTGCATGACAGTGTGACTTTCATGTGGATCTGTGTTGCTGCAGCAGAAGGATTTGGCTGGTAGAATTTCCACATGGATTTTTTTTTTCTCTTAAAAAGCAAGAGAACAAACTGCGATTGAGCCTCTTTTTAGCGCTCAGTAGAGCAGGCGCACAGGAAGCAGCTGAGAATAAGCCCGTGCTGGTGCGGAAGACTGTGCTATTGAAGTGGCGCGTTGCAAAGGCCTGTCCGTGCCCTCTCCTCGCTTAGCTCCTGCCTGCCGCCTGCCGCCCCTCCTGCCCCTCAGGGAATGCTGAAGCCCGCCCCTGGCCTGTGCCCTGCTTCTCACTGCCTGGGTCTCACGACCACGGGTGGAAGCAAAACTTGCCTTGCAAGTGAAGCCTCGCTTGGCCATTCTCGTTTCTTCCCGCTGTGGTGCACCTTCTTGGGCTGTTTCCGGATCTGTCTGCATGCACCCGCGGCCCCCCCCACGCTCGCCTCCGCCGCACAGTAAGTGTTGTGTTTTGCCACATTTCAGACTACTCCAAAGGATTCGGCGGGAAGTATGGGGTGCAGAAGGATCGGATGGATAAGGTAAATATTCCAGACCCGGAGCTTGGTGTCGTCTGCCTGCAGGGACTCTTGGTGGGCGTGGCTCGCGGTGCGGGTGGCACCTACGCACTGGGGTGGGGCACAGGTGGTTTCCATCACGGTGGACATGATGTGTCCTGTGCTTCTCATGGCCGTGCTGTGGGATGGGCGCTGGCCCTGGCCGCCCTCCTAGTTGGGGGCCCCAGGCCAGGCAGGTTCAGCACCTGGCTGTGGCACAGCAGTGGACGGCTGGGCTGCCACAGGAACCCAGACGTTTAACATGAGAGGTGAGAGCCTCGAGGGCTCATGTCCATTTGAACTTAAATTCTTAACAGTAAATGAGATTGGAACCGAGTGTTAGACCGCGTGTGGGGCTACCCCGCTGGTGGCCGGCGCTGCCTGTGCCATGATGAGCCGTGTCTCCCGTCTTCAGCCTCACAGAGACGCGGGCTCCACACTGCCTGCTGCTGTGCATGGCCTGCGGTCAGGGGTGGCAGGGTCAGTCCTTGCCTCGAAGCTGACCACACACAGCACCATCCAGGGGCTCCTGATGTGGGCTCTGGGGGCGTGGGCGGGCAGAGCAGGTGTTCGGGCTGGGCTCGCCAGGGAGCCGCAGCCTGGGCTCATTTCTGAGGGCAGGCGGGAGTTCAGGAGAGAAGGCTCAGGAGACCACGGAGGGACGAGGTGTGGGGCTGGGTGGGACAGGAGTCACAGCAGGTTCTCAAGGAGCCTAGCTGCAGAGGGAGGGCGGGGAGCGGGGACAGAGCCGGCCCTGGAGAGCCCCACACACCACAGGGCGTTCTGCACGTCATGAGGTGACCTGCACGGCCCCAGAAGGGTTAGCAGGTAGGGGATACTTTGGGGGTCTGCTTTGAGAATCCGCCAGCCTCAGCGTGGAGTCTGGGTCGTGGGGAGTGGCCTGGGCAGGGGGGTGTGGTCCTGAGGAGAACTGGAGGGGCTCAGGTGGTAGAGAAGCAGGGCATGGTGTTTGGCACCAAGGGACGCAGGGGAGGGAGCAGTTGGGTGGGTGTGGGGTGGACGTGGGGCCGACAGTGAGCTGAAGAACTGGGAGTAGCGGACGTGGGTGTCAGTGAGAGGAAGCTGGGGTAGGGCTGGGGCCAGGCCCGGGTGGCGTGCAGAGTGGGGAGGGGAGTAGGCACGCGGTCAGAGGACACTGGGCAGGGGGAACCGGCGAGGTAGCGAGGACCTTGCGAGGCACTGGGACGGGTGGAGGGAAGGAGCTCCCCTCTGGGTGAGTCAGAGGTTGTGGCTTTGGGGCCGGAACCTGAGGGACTGCTGTGCTGTGGGTGTCTGTGGTCAGCATTGCTGGTGTTGGCAGTGACCGCTGAGCTTGTGAGCACGTGGGGAGGCAGTGTAGGAGTGTGGCCTTTGGTGTCGTTGTCTTTCATCCAGGACGGGGTGGAGCTTCTCTCTCTTGGTTTGCTGTGTGATGAAGTCCAAGGCTTAGAGAGGGTGCTGTAACTGCCTGAGTCCCCGTACATTGTGGGGATGGGGCTACAACCCAGGCTGGGAGGTGAGGTCATCCCCTGAGGGCGAGGTGATGTCTGCAGAGGGCCCAGTGGGTGACGGGACCCAGTAAGGCTGATGGCCTTGCCTTTGAACAGGTGCAAGCGGCTCAAGGGACATGGAGTAGACGCTGGAGCTGACTGACAGGAAGAGGGAGCAGGGTCCGAGGAAGGACAGGCAGGCCAGGAACGGGGCAAGCAGGAGGTGCTGGGCAGAGAGGGGCCATGGCGTGGGGGCTCTGGTGGCTTCTGAGCCTCAGGTGTTCTCATCAGAGGTAGCGAAACCCACAGTGAGACTGGGGACGGCCGCTGGTCTCCACGAGCCCTGCCAGTCTCCACCTGAGTCCTGTGTGAGAGTCATTGCTGCTACTTGGTCAGGCCGGAGTTGAGTCCCCCGCAATGCAGAAAGGTGTGACTGCACCACTGCGTGGTGTGGTGTGGAGGACGGGCCACCGGAGGCTTGCATGTGTCCCCAGCGTCTTCTGCTTCCTGTCAATGCTCACACCTCTGGGTGGCGAGGGAGGGTGGGGAAGGCGTGAGGCGGATCCCAGAATTGGTGTATGATAGAGCAGATGGAGATACATGTATTTCTTATGCTCATGCTGACTCACGGTTGCCTGCAAATGTGGTGGGTAATCGTTCTCATGCCTCAGTTAGTTTGCGAAACTGAGAGGCCATGAAGGGTGCTCTGGGCTGTGTGGCTGGGCCTTTGGGAAGATCTGAGGAAGGCATTTGCATCTGGTAGGAGCTGCCACAGGGCATGGAGAAAAGAGAAAAGTGCTTTTCTGACGCCCAATTCCTGTCTCCACAGAACGCGTCCACCTTTGAGGATGTCACCCAGGTGTCCTCTGCCTACCAGAAGACAGTACCTGTTGAAGCCGGTGAGTCCTGGCTGATACCGGAGCACCGTGTGGTTTCCCAGGAAAACCCTGAGGTGAAACAGCCGGGAGCAGACGCACCACTAGTTGAAAGCGTGGTTGTTGCTGCGTATTTTTGGGAAAGAAAATGATCCTTTTGATGAAGATCCCGTTTCTCCTGCAGAGGTTTAGAGTCACCTTTCAAACGCAGCATGGTGCAGCTGGTTCAGTGGGGCCTGTTTCGAGGGCCTCTTCCCAAAGCAAAGGGGTTACGTGCACGTTCAGGAGGGTCCCTCCACACTGCCAGTGACCAGCTCCTGGGAGCAGCTGGGGCCTGCCCGGCTCCCTGAGCCACTGGGTCGCAGCTGTGGCAGGAGGAAGACGTCATGGCGTCTGTGTGCAGGCGATGGCAGACGTTCTCTCTGCTGCTTGTTCTTGGGCCCTTGACCAGGGAGCTCGAAACCTGTCCTTTTCTGTGCTGGACACACGATTGAGTCAGAGGTGGCCCATGCCCCGGAGAGTCAGGTACTTGGGGAAAATATCGTACGTGAAAGCAAGTGCTAAATTTAACACAGGATGCGGAGAGCTACCACTGCTTGCTAGGGGAGCCGTGGATCCACAGTTCTCAGAGTTGGAGGGCCCAGGACGCTTTGACACTTTGACCACTAGTGAGAACCCCCCAAGACGTTGATGTATTTGATGATATTGACTATATTAGAAATTAGAGGAATGTGGCCCGGCGCGGTGGCTCACGCCTGTAATCCCAGCACTTTGGGAGGCTGAGGCCGGTGGGTTACGAGGTCAGGAGATCGAGACCATCCTGGCTAACACAGTGAAACCCCGTCTCTACTAAAAATAAAAAATAAAAAATAAAAAAAAATTAGCCAGGCATGGTGGCAGGCGCCTGTAGTCCCAGCTACTCAGGAGGCTGAGGCAGGAGAATGGCCTGAATCCAGGAGGCGGACCTTACAGTGAGCTGAGATTGCGCCACTGCACTCCAGCCTGGGCGACAGAGCGAGACTCCATCTCAAAAAAAAAAAAGAAATCAGAGGACTGTTTTGTTTATTTATTTATTTTGAGACCGGGTCTTGCTGTGTCATCCAGGCAGGACTGCAGCCTCAGTCTCCGGGGCTCAAGCAGTCCTCTTGCCTCAGCCTCTGAGAAGCTGGAACTATAAGCGCATGCCACCATGCCCAGTTAAATTTTTTTATTTTTAGTAAAGACGAGGTCTCATTGTGTTGCCCAAGTTGGTCTTGAATTCCTGACCTCAAGTGATCCACCTGCCTCAGCCTCTCAGAGTGCTGGGATTATAGGCATGAGCCACCACAGCCATTGGAAAGTTATAAATTGGTTCACTTAAAAAGAACAAAACTAGGTTGGGTATGCTGGCTCACGCCTGTAGCCGCAGCACTCTGGGAGGCCGAGGCGGGAGGATCACCTGAGGTCACGAGTTTGAGACCAGCCTGGCCAACATGGTGAAACCCTGTCTCTACTAAAGATACAAAAAGTAGCTGGGCATGGTGGCCCACGCCTGTAATCCCAACTACTCAGGAGACGGAGGCAGGAGAATTGTTTGAATCTAGAGGCGGAGGTTGCAGTGAACCTTGATTGCACCACTGCACTCCAGCCTGGGCGACAGGAGCTAACCTCCATCGCAAAAAATAAAAATAATAATATAACTGGCCATGCACGGAGTGGCATTGTTTTTTTTTGTAAATCTCTTTAATAGAAGACGGCTGCATTCTCACACCTATCTGCCTCTACAGTCTGTCGATGTTATGTTGTTTAGGAAGAACATGTGGAATCACCTGGGTAGGCGGTTGGGAAAGGGAGGAGTGTTTGTAACCTTGAGGGCAGTGTGGGTGTCCTTCCGCGATGCCACGCAAGCGTGCCAGGTGGGGGTGGTCCTGCGGGCCGACTCCTCTGGCCCTGAGTGGCTCGCTCCCCAGTATGCTCGGGTGGCACCCTGTGTTGGTTATTTGGAAAATGCTGGACCTCTGAATTATGCCCGTCTTCCACTTGCGGACACTTCTCATTATACAGGACCAAAAAAAATCATATTTGCTGTCATCGTCAGTGTCATCTGCAGAGGCTAAGTGGAAATTGTCGTGTTCATGTGGCAGCCTCACATTTTTCAGAATTCTGTCTTTTACTTGAAAGCTGGAATTTTCCCGTTGGCGACAGATACTACAGTAATTTTTCTTGACACAATAGGCTTAGTTCATTCACTTGGGAGAAAACTGCTGCCAGATACCCAGCTTTGCATAACCATAGTTTGTCAGTTGTTATTTCAGGGAAGAACGTTGTTCCATGAAAAAACAATCAACTTGCAGCTCTCATGGTTCCATTCATGTTCCTTGAGACAGAGACAGCCACCGCCACAGTCCCGGACACAGCAGGGAAGGCTCACGTGTCTTCCCACTTTTTTGAGACAGAATCTCGTTCTGTTGCGAGGCTGGAGTGCAGTGGCGCCATCTTGGCTCACTGCAACCCCTGCCCCTGGGTTCAAGCAGTTCTCCTTGCCTCAGCCTCCGAGTAGCTGGGATTACAGGCGCGCACCACCACGCCCAGCTAATTCTGGCATTTTTAGTAGATACAGGGTTTCACCATGTTGGCCAGGATGGTCTCAATCCCTTGACCTCGTGATCCACCCGCCTTAGCCTCCCAACGTGCTGCGATTACAGGCGTGAGCCACCGCACCCAGCCTTGTTCCCCACCTTTGACTTACATTTTTATCGTTTTTTCTTAATAGACATGGGGTCTCACTATCTATCTTTTTTTTTTTTTTTTTTTGAGACAGAGTCTCGCTCTGTCACCCAGGTAGCTAGGACTATAGGTGTGTAACACCACCTCCT